GATCTTGGAATGGAAAGTAGGTAGTGACATTTCTTTTGTACTACGGCAGGACAAGATGTTTCTACATTTGCCAAGGGAGCATTGGTTCATCTTTTTTTGCACGTAGTGAAGTTGGAAATGGAGGCAGACTTCCCTGGGAAACTAGGACTCCATAATGAGAAGCCACGGCCGAAGAGTGTGATCCTTTTCTATGATTTGTTGAAGAAATGTGATGATGAAATTGATCTAGCAAAGTAGGTTCTACTTAGTTTAGTGACTGCAAGTTTTTTTTTGAACTTAGTTCATGGTAGGCGTGGGTGCAGACGAACTAAGTATACATAATTTTTTGCAGGAGATGGTTTATGCACGAGCATCCACAATGGATGGTGCTGAGAGGGGAAGATTTTGTGGATCAATTCGGACCCTGGGGGGAGCTAGACAGGCTAGGCATGACAGGGATTTGGAGAGCGCTAAATTGGCTAGAGAACAAGATGTATAGAGGAGCGAAGAATCGATGGAGAGCTATTCCGGACCCAAACTTGATGGTAAGCTGGATTCCATTAAGTGGCTTGCAAGCTTTGCATATTGAAAAGAATTAAGACATTTTACGATATTTGCTGCAGGTGGAGATTATGATGAAGGACCACCACAACATGATAGACTTTGAGTGTGTGAGGAGAATGCTTTGTGAAGAGTACACTGGGTACAACCTTCGAAATGTGGAGCAGGTTAGCTGAAGTTTTCCATTGAAAGAGAGGCATTAAGAAGAAAAGTTATAAGTTGACTAATTACATAAGCTCAACTAATGATGAATAGCTACTAATGTTGATGAACGACATGGAGAGCTGGTCAGTATATGCTGTGAACTTGAAGATGAAGAAGGTGGTCATCATGGATCCATCTGATTGCAATGCTGATGACTCTACAACAAAAGATAGGCACTGGCGTAATTTAAATAAACTTCTGAAGGGGTTGATTCATTGCATCAATGAATGCTTCCCGGGGTGGGAAATGACAAGGCAGGGCTGGCAAGCGGAGTACAAATATGATCTACATGAACGTTGCTCCAGGTAAAGTACATGTTATCTTATCTCCACCTATTTTATGGACCTAGTAATCTAGTTCAATCCAGTTATTGTTCTGGAATGTGGCAACAACGAGGAAACAGGCTACTACTGCATCCACATACTGAGAGAATTCGATGGCGACAGTCTTGCTAGCCCAGTGACAAAGGTAATCTCTGTTTGAACTATAACCAAAAAAGAAGAAGAACATGTATGAATTGCAGTGGATGACGGCTTTCTTGCTTCCATTTTGATACTGCAGGGGGCTGCAAAATACCTACGGAAGAGCCTACCATACCAGATGTGCACTATGGGGGCAAAGAGGCGGGAGCTGCCAGAGAAGATGGAGATGATGAGAGCTCGACGAGCTGTTGATCAGACCAAGGTTGTGCATATTGATTAGCTCAAATTGCAACAACCGTGATGAAGCAAAAACTCCGCTCTAGCAATAAAATGTGATAATACCTATGGATATCAGTCAGTGGTTATGTATGAACATAAGACTACGTTTGGAATGGCTGTGCTGCTTAAGACTACGTCATTATCTGGTTTCATGCAATGTAAGACTTCAAAAATCATGCCTGCAGTCGCTGCAGCTGGTTTCATGTAATGGAAGAGTTCATATGGCATGCATGCCGTGTCCGCATCTCCTTACGGCGCCAACGGTTTGTGTGGACTCATAATCTCATGGCTTTTAAGTTCCAAAAACATCTGCTGCAATGACATTTAGTTAGTAGGGTCGTTCATGCTTTCCAAATACAGAAAAATAGAAGGGATCATGTTCTTAACTTGGCTGTAATTGATGTAGGAAGCATAGCCTTGGCTGTGGAGATAGACTGGAAAAGTTTTTAAATGATTCTGCAAAGAACATAGGGAAAAATTCAGGAATATACATGACTGGAACACATTTGTGAACCTTCATTTGAGTGGAATGGAAAAAGAAGAGAACTAGTTTGTGAGATAGTGTGCACAGTTTTTAGAAAGTTGTGAAAAGTGAGGTCATGGATGCAAGCATTAACATAGCTGGATTACTTGGAAAAATTGTAGAACATAAGGAAAACGAATGGAGCTGCAGGGTTGACCAAAGTATATAGTAAAACTCTATCCATGGTTACATGTCCAGACACAGGAGGACTCATGCACCGAAACACATGATGATTACAAACTTGCAGTAAGTCATGGTACAAGTTTGACATAAGAAATCAACAACATCGCATCAGAGCTCTCATTAAGTTGCAACTACGGATGTTTCATCAGCTATGTCGTCAGGCGCTAAGATGTTCCACATCACGTCTGGTGGCACAGAAGATTTGTTGCCTTGTAACTTGAAGGTTTCATGGAATAAATGAAGGCGCATCCTGTCAATATTGTTCTGAAAAAAAACAAAAGGACATTAGCTAGATCAGATAAAATGACAGGTTGTGATGTTATGGTTCAGTACCGCTTGCATACAAACCTTAGTTAGTGGCACGGTTCCCTTGCTGCCATTGTAGAATCGAAGAAGATGAAGGACACATACTGCAGAATCTTCCCTACAGTATGAAATGTGAAATGAGAAGACAAACTTTATTTGGGGGCAGTTGTCAAAAGGGAAATGTAGCGACATTGACCTAAAAAGCTGTATTACCTAGAGAAAAGAGTGTCAGCCACTCGAGGGTACTTAGTGGTCCAATTTTCTTTACTCACAGGCCATCCCGAGAAAAACTCTGATATACACTTGAACAAACCGTCGTGCAATATGGAGACTGCAGCTTCGTGCATAGCTCGAACTTCGGGAGTGCACCCACTAGGACCAGAGAGAGGGTCTAGTACATGTACTTCAGTTGCAACCATGTCCCATAAATAGAGTGACCAGCCATGTGGTGTTGGCACTGGAACATAAAACTTGGGCACGGAAAAAACAGCCTCATTAGTTCAAAACATGAAACGGAGAACTGCTGACATGGATTTACAGAAAACCAGTACACACATACGTTCTGGCAAGTGTGCAGGGGGTAGAGAATGTGTTGTCCAACAAACTGCTCTTGTATTTGGATCAGGTGGATGAAATCCATACCAGCAAGAACTAACACCTGATATTAAAAGATATATCAAATAAGAACAAATGTTAGCAAAACTTTTATTTAAAAACAGTCGTAAACATAAAAAATAACTAAACTAACCGCCAAGCCATTGTCCAATATGTGAGGAAAGCTCATGTATGGACGATCTGGGTTTTCTTCCATGAAAATCTTAATGCAGCGTCGAAACAGGAGAGTAGCCATTTCATGCTGAAGATCGACAGGGGCAAGGAACTGATTCCTGATTTGCAGACCAGACACGGAGAGGTGACGAGGAGTGTTGTGGACTATCCAATTGCTGCAAATAAAGGATTGTTTTCGTCAGTACGATAGGGGGGGACAAGGTGACAGAAAAGATTGAAATAAGGGAGACGACCTGTTCAAACATTCCGCGCTAGCATTGCGCATGAAATCTTGGAGCTGCTCCATAAGAACAGTAGACTGCGGGGGAGCAGGACAATAGCCTGCCATCCAAGGATTTTTTTTTTTGCAAAGCCAGACGATGTGACGTATTTCCTCTGAGGCAACGGCCTCAGTGAATGGGCAAACACGGGGGCATCAGGGTCATCGCAGTTAAGGCGGATTTACACCTCCAAGACAACGCTGCTAACTGACGAAGCGTACTCAGAAAGGCGAACTGAATAAGTTGTGCTAGAACCATGGTCCCTCTTTGGTCTACATGAATCAACGAGAAGTGGATCACTAGCGGCGCGCTTGGATCGGTAGTTAGGGCTTGGGGAGGGGTTCGTATCTGCGAAATATAAATTGCAGCCATAAGTAAGATATCCCGTGTGGTAAGGTTTGATTTACACCCTAAGTGATGAAAAAATGTACCTGCCATGGCTGTCATATCTAGACGTCGACCAGGAATGCTCAGTGCAGCAGGGGTTCGCATCGAAGGGTCTATGAAAACAAGGAAAAATCCATGGCGTGCCATCAGACAAAATTCATCTACGAAAACTATATATGCAAATACAAACATGAATGTGGTTGGAGGATGAAAGTCAGTACCTGGAGTTGATGAACGATCATGCATTGGACAATCCAGATAACCTCTAATAGAGCAGCATATGCAACGGCTCTACAAGTTAAAGAACATTTTTTGGGCGAACGAGTGCATGTCTTCCTGGATATTCTGCATCGCAGTGTTCATGTGGAGTACCACCCTCGCGTATTGTTGCCTCAACACGATTGCGAGTGGATCACCAAACTGCGGGCAATGGGAGATGCAAAACCAATAAGTAGGTTGTATTTTGAGAGTGTGATCTGTAAGCTATCGCAAGAACAAAAAATTGTTGGCATACCAACTGAGGGTAGTTGAGTCCAATGAAATTGGAGAAGTCTGACGCAGAAAATTGCCCTGAAGGGAATGAAGAGCTCGCCGTGTGAGGCGAACATCGAATGCTCGTTGGCTGACCGATTGCAGCCCTAGTGGAACATTGAGGTGGTGTACTCCAATTAGGCCCGTATTCCGCGTCTCGTAAGTTACCAACCGAGGACATAAAATTTGATCTCGTGTAGCAAAGCCCATGAGGATCCCTAAGTTGAAACACAGAAATTAAGTATCAGTAACCGCACCAACCGCACAACGCGAACCGGCGCACCACCTAACACCACCCCACTGGAACACAACAACAACACCCAGACACCGCGCCAAAACAACACCACACAACAGG